TTGGGCTGCCTGTGACATACCTTATAATTATTTAATGCTACAGTACAGTCTGACTCTATCTGGTTAGTTTTGACCAGACTAAGTACCTACAAAATAACAACAATTACTGTTATGGCCTCTAATAAYAAGATAAAATATTTTACTTGATATTATCAAAACCATTATTAATAAGAAAAAATATATATTAGCATTTTGGTTAAAATTGGTTCACAGGTCAGAGTTTGTGCAAATTAAAGTATGATTTTGGTGTGTATGTATTGAATGTTCAACATGTAAACTTTATTATTATAAATATAATACACATGTACTTTGATGATAACTAGAAAGATATTGGACATTAGTAACCACCAAACTATGGGATACTAACCAGCATTCAGATTGGCTACTGAACTGGTATATTATGATACAAACCATCATGATGCATTCAACAAAGGCAAAAATAGTCAAAAAATGTTAAGAACTGAAAAAGTCTAAAAAAATCTTTGCTTTGGTTGGTACTGCCTTCAATTATTTTGTGACTAAATTTTACATGAAAACAAAACAACAAAACACAATAACCTAAAAACATGTCAAATTCCTCAGATTTTACTTTCTTGTGATGACGTCATGCCTCATAATTTTTTGTAATTTATCCTTTCTCCGCATAATATAATAGGCAAAAAATACTGTTACAATTTTGATTTTTTTGCGCAAAACTACAACATGACTGAATATAATATACGTCAATGCTAAAGATTCCACACATTCTTACCTGGTCTCTATATTTAGCCATGATCAGTTCTAAGGCCGATTGATATTCTGCAAGAGAAGTCTGTAATTCAATATTCTCTTGCTGCAGTTCCCGTATTCTGGCATTCTCTTCTTCGCTCCCTAGAATTAAGGTACTTCTTGGTCTGTGGTTAGCGACCTTATTTAGCTCAGTTACTTCTTCTCTTAACTAGAAACAGATAATATTGATATTGTAGAAAAATTTATAAATTCATTACATGTATATCCCAACAATATATTTTAACACACATCCACTGGTACAAAGGCGTCATGTGGTACATTTTCGGCGGACGGGTATTTATTTCAGTAGAGACTTTTGCCGCCTTGTCAACACTTGTCAAACGATTAACCAATGAAATAACGAAAAAATTACTGTGAACATCGTGCACGTATATTTTACCTTGCACTTTGACGGCTTTTCTTCCTCAACACAGCAAAATGAATTTGTTGGGATATGAAATAAATAAACCCCTTCTTGGCACACTGGGATATCGGCTGATAATGTCTTCGGAAGAGAAATAGTCCTCAAAATACACATTTGCCCTCCTTTCGGCCAGTCCAAATGTTCATTTTTTGGAACATTTCTCATCCTTGGACATTATCAGCCGATATCCCAGCCACCAGAAGGGGTTTATGCACTAGATATTTATATGGTTCATGCTACATTTTCATCACAACAATCCATGACTTTTCAAGTACTTTCAACTTATTGTACTATATTGTTTTTCAAGGGCTAATTTCCAAATCCTGTTTGAGGTTTGTGTACACTGATTTTCCAACTCTGAATTTTGAAAATGATGTTATTTTTTAAAAGAAAGGGTTATAAAACAGACATCTAGTACTATCAAAACATTCAAGGAGTGTTCCTTGAGCTTTTTGGGGTTTTCTTTTTTGAAGGGCTTTTCTAGATTGTCAACTCCATAGGTTTTTCAAGGTTTGAGGTGTTATAGCACAAAACCTTTATAAAAATAGATAGAATTCCTCAAAGGACATATTATCATCCTAGTGCTAAAAGAAGTGTAATATAGCCATCAAATTGCATATTACACCTTCAAAGAACACAATACACTCAATCTGGAAGAACAATTTTTGAACAAGCCATGATGGTTTCTAAAACTGAAACAACTATTTTTGTCAGATGATAGTTGACAAATGATGCTCAAGTACTAGGATGTAAACAGCTGAGACCAGATTTACCCATTGAAGTAAGGGAGGGACAGTGAATTCACATCTCGAATAGCACAAAGCAGCTAAAATTTCAAAAAARTTCATGTAACTATCTTGGCTATTTGAGTAAAATTTCGACGAGTAGAATTAGGCATTACTGTATAGACAAGTGAATTAATTTACTTACAAATGTAGTTTGATATAATCAAAAATGAAATTTAAGCTTACTGTAAGCTTACATTGAATAAAGGGCCCACCAATTAAATATTGAGAGATGATGTGCTATAGTTGTCCTAATTTACACTGAGTTTTCATTATCACTCAAGGATAAAACTTGAACAAATATGAAAGTAATCTTACATGTAAACTTGTGTCACTAMCAACGTCGTTTGGATAGTCTAGTAAGCTTAGATAAAGTAAGCTTCAAATTAAGGGATTATTACAACATATACTATTATTTCAAAATCTTTAACTTGTAAAAAAAGGAAAGATCTGTATAGACGTTSTTTTGAAATTGTAAAAGATGGAAAACAGTGGAAAGATTCARTGCTTCGACGGTTTAAGCTTACCTGCTTGTAGGCATCCATCTTCATGTTAAGAGTAGATGCATCTCGAAGAATCGAATCACAAGTCGATTCTTGATCTCTTAGATTCTTAACAAGTCGCTTCGCATCCGTAAGAAGCTGTTCCATGTTCAATTTGAAGTCGTCGTAAGAAATATCACCGTCAAACCCTTGAATACTTTCTGACAGAAAAGAGCGACTACCGTTTGGCCGCCATCTTGGAGTGTTTGTAACCTTGATCTGCTGCTGACCAGTTGTCGTCGYTTTRGATGATTGGTTTATATATATAGATTTTACACATRTAKTGTATGGTTGTCAGGATGGCCGAGCGGTCTAAGGCGCTGCGTTCAGGTCGCAGTCTACTTATGTAGGCGTGGGTTCGAATCCCACTTCTGACACATCTTTTCTTTTATTTCTTTTTTTTTTGTAATTACTAGTAACTTATATTTTATCGCAAATCTTTTCCAAATATAATGCAGCAACGAAATATTATTCAGGCTAAAAGATAGTTTGATTATTTTTCTATTATAAATTTGTGAATAAAATTTTTTTCATTATATAACAGTAATACTATCATGGTTATAATAGTGATAAAAAGCATTTTTCATTAAAGATAATGTTAGAATATAAATAGTAAAAATTCTRTCAACACAATTTTGATGCCGAAAACCGTATCATCAAAAAAATAATAAAAAGTCAAATAAATAATAACAACCAATTTGCAGCTCAACAACTAAAAGCAAAGATATACAGAGAAAAATATATGCAAATGTCTTTTTTTTTTTCAAAAATACACATTATCCCAGAAAGGGAATTAGACGAAATTGTTGTCTAGGACCATGGACCATGCGAAACATTCAAACATAAAAGCAAAAAATCAAAGTAAAAAAGAGGGGAAATTAATGTGAGAAAGAAGAAATAAAAAGAAAAGACGACTATTATTTTACACTAAACTGCTAAACCAAGTTGTTAGAAAACTGTTTATAATAATCATTTATAATCTTTACCGAGAAAGACTGTGTCGAGAGATTGACCCTCTCCGGTAGCTTTTTTTGCCTTAACACAGGAATCCCACAGAGTAGAGTTGCCTGTAATGGAGGCTGAATAGGCCGTTTGCATTATGACGTAACTTTACTACAACTACCAGAGAGCCTTGCGCATTTTCATTGMTATTCAGATTTTTAATCCCCTTGGAGATTAATAAAACAATTGGCACCAATTGCATTACAAAAGAAAGTTGGCAAAGCATTCTCGGGTAGTTGTAGTAAATGACGCCATAATGCAAATCGGCTATTCTCCATGAGTCGATCAGATACGACGCGGCATCGATAGTAATAAGTACAGTGCGATATTCGGATTCTATTATACGATCATTGAAAATACGATCATTGAAAATATAAAAAAAATCTGCACTACTGAGAAGATACATTTTTAATATATGTTTGCTTGGGTTCACATGCATTCAAATATACAAGAGAAATTTTATGAAATATTGCCTCTCGGATCTCCAAAGCGTGAAGAGGCTCGAAAACTCTATCATGCGGATACATTTTAAAAACTCAGGAAAAAGTCCAGTTGCTAAACTCCTAGTATTTTTAACTGCTATCCATACTCTTAAGACACTAGCATAAGCATAGTGATGTATAAGCATTAGCATGAAGACATAAGAATAAGTTTGAAACATAAGTTTCCACATGACAAAAGCACAAGAAAAAGCTCAAGAAATACGAATCAAATTCCGTTCATTGCTGCTATGGTTATGCTTATGTCTGTGCTTATGCGCTAGTAAACATATTTAATATTAACTGTGTGTGGTAACTGTCTAACTTTGATATGTTTGTAATTATTATCATAACATTCTTTTATCTATGCCATCTAAATCTAGTTATTATTTGACAATAAATTAAACTGGAGAGAATGAATCCAGTTTCGATACCTTATTTGTCCAGTCTTAACATCGAAAGCATCTAATATATTCTTTTACTCAGCAGAGATCCTATCGTAAGAAAACAACTCAATATGTTTACAAAGAAGATGAYAAAAATGCATGCTTGATTTAAGCTAAGCTTGCACAAAAGAGAATTTGAAACTATTGTAACTATAGTATTGAATTTTCTCTGTCCGACTGGAAAACCTCAGACTTTTACATACTTAGGAGGAGCCGACGGGTTCCTGGGAGAAATATATCTGTTCTTATATGTCCCAGCCAGCTGTAAGTAAYAACTGTTTAATTACCAGCGAGAAATTCACGAAAAAAGAACTCTCCAGGCAAGTAATACTTTCTAAGAACTTTTGCCAGGAAAATAGAAAATTTCCTAACTAAAAAATATCAGCCGTTTTTGACCATAAAAACGTTATATAAGCCTTTTTTTTTTTGACCTTAAAAACGTTTACCAGGAAAAAATTATTTTAAAGAAGGAAGGTCGGCGCATTTGCTTATGAGATTGTCAACAATGTAGCTGAAAATCCATTTCCCAGGAAAAAATTCGTACACGAACAGATATTTAAATGAACAGACCCCATCGGCTCTTGTGTAAATTGTTTGTAAACAGACTGTAAAATTGATTTTACAGGACCAACGTACTTTTAAATACTATGTAAATTTCAAAAGACTTTGTAAATCATTTGTAAATTCTTCCTCGTACTCAATGTTAATTTTTTGTAAATCAAAAATTGCTTGTAAAATACAATTTCMAAAATATTTACATAGTATGTAAAAGACTGAGATTTTCCAGTGAAAGTTTTTTGGTGGTGGCATGCTATCCTCAGTAGTAGACCACGATGCTGATTTGATGTGATAGTTCTAGACAATATACAGTGTAAAAATCAAAGAATAAAAATTGCAAAACTGATCTCATTGCAATTTATTTATACAGGATCGTCTTGGTCTGGCCAATCCGTACTGGGGTTGTCGTAAACATTCTGTGAAACAAAATTTAAAGATTATTATAAGCAATAATGTTCCGAGGCCATAATGCACACCCGAGASAACAATTAGATTGCCTGCGTTCTCGAGTACAAATGAAAAACTAGTACTGATGAAATAGTTTTAGTTTTTAAATTATTACAGTTTTTAAATTCTGAAT